GCTTTGCAAGCCAATACCACTGTTAGGTCTTACGCGCTGTTCCCCCGCCTCGGTACATTCCAGAGGATCGTCACCCTATGGTTCACCGACCGTCATAACTAAATTGGTCATACATGACGATGAATTGTTCATCTCCGTGACCATCGTTGCTAAGGCTTGCACCGGTCCCAACCATTTGAACCTAATTATGTTTAAAGGTATGCCACGTCCCGTTGCAAATGGAACTTTGAGCTCTCCCATGTTCATAAACATCAAGGAATTTATTTGGCAAGTTCCCCCTATTCATCTTACATTTACTGTGAAAGGTTGGCGGTTTTTCCAACTATTGGGATATGATATTGTGGCGGTTTGCCATGTCATTAAGTTAGGCAAACTACCTGTGTCTGCTTGGAACATAGCTTCAGTTTTGATATCTCCTCAATGCATTAATTCACCTCCAAATACATCAGTAAGGCTTACACCTTCAGTTTTTTCCGGTTTCCCCAAAAAAGTGAATAGAGGTAAGGTTTCATTGTTTATGATTTTTACATATTTACAAGATACCACTTTATCCGGAAGTTGCCGCACCGGATCAGACAACTTCCGTACTAGTTTAAAGATGAGTTTAGTTTTTGTTGCATGTCATGTTCCGTCCAACCATGTTGGACATAATAGCTAGGGGCTGTTTCAGTTTGGGTAAGTGGCGAGTTCCAATGCGTCCTATTCTGCCAATAAGTTTTGTCTCGGCTTTTGGGTCTAAATCCGAAGTATAGCTCGAACAGATTTGCCCTTTTTTCTAATGTTGAGGACCCTTGAAAAATTAGGTATTTGTTTAGGTCATCAATGTCGCGCAATGGAAGTGCTAAAGGATTATTACCGCTTAGGAACTCGGACCATTTTTCCTTGCATTCTCGTCGCAAATTATCTGGCAGTTTTCTTGTTCGCGGCTTGATTACCTAACTTCCCTGGTCTTCCTTTCCCAGGACCTTATCCGTGATCCACATATCCATTTCTCGTAGTACCCCGTGTATAGCGAGCCTTTCTTTCCGGCTATAATTTAAGGCAGAGTCATTAATCACCTTTTCGTTGTTAGCGATGCCTTGTGGGTGAGTTACCGCTAACAATTTCATGACGGTCCTCTCGGCGGTTTGCTTCAATTAGCTCTATTTGTATCGCGTTGGCCAGTAGCCTATTCGGTCCCTTTTTGTGTAGCCTGGACCATGTTCGATAAATATCATCGCGTCTTCTAGCCACTTCAATAGATTTAATCTCCCAAGATTCTTCATGATAGCCATTATCTCGTCTACGATCATGGGTTTGGGAGACCCAATAATTGCCAAGGGTTGGTACAGTGGTTGTGTAATTTTGACGGAGTTCGGCTACGATGGTCTTTGAGCACGCCGTTCTTCTTCTTCGGACGACGATGATGATGAAGAAGTCTCGGTATTAGTTGATAAGTCCAAATTCGGGTCCGCTCGCAAGGATCGCTGAAACTCTAAGTCTTGTTGCAAGAACTGTTCATTGGCAAGGGATATCACGTCAAATCTAAGCCTCTTTGCAGGGAGAACTCTTGAGAACCCGGTCTTTTCCATGACAATGGCGACCGGGACAATTCAGTTCTAGTCAGCACTTCATTTTTTAGCTGCGCCCTTCATTGCTTTCCTCGAGTTAAGCGTACTGTGAGACATTTTCCGTACTCAGTCCCAACTTTATGGAGCTAAGTTCTTCAACTTTTGTATTATCGGGAGCCGGTATTCCCATTCGAGGCGTTATTATTTCTGCCTCTTGATAGGGTCCTTTCCCGTCACCTCGGGCTGTCTTTGAATTCAATCCTAACTGTCTTCTATTTATTTTTGCCGACCTTTCGTCTGCTAGGGTAGAGTAAACAGGAGGCGGTATCAGCTTTGCACTTTGTGAGTACAGCATTCTAACTCCGTAGGGATCTTCGCCCGGTGTAGTTAATAATCGACCTTGACGTATCCTTTTATCGCTGACCACATCTACACCTTCGATCCCAATCGAGTAAGCGGCCATTTCATTTTGCAACCTGGGGTACATAGTTTCTATTTCTTGATGACCCAGTCCCTTTTTTACAGCCATCATTGGTCCATTTGGGATATCTGGGTTAATCGCCCAGGAATTCATCGTGGGTGTTCTGGAAACAAGTGTGGCAGGGTATGAGGGTGGTTCTGAAGACGGTGGTGCCGACGGTTCAACAGCCACAAAATATGCTTTCCTCACTGGTAGACTTTTTGTATAACTTTCCAGCATTGTATTCGTTTTTGAGTACTCCTTAAAGTTCTTCCATTGTGATTTTTACACATTACGCGTGATTACGCGCCTCGTAAAAGTTGGAAGTCTATTGCCAAAACGAGAGAGGCTTCAAATTGTCCCTCGGAAATGAGAGAGAAGCGCACTCTATTTATTCATCTCTGTGAATGCAACCATTGATACCCTAACAATACCTTGTTACCTTGATAAGTCATCAATGATGCAACACGTTGGGGCGGCAAAATATTTGATTGACATGTCGCCGGTGAATTTCCGTATGAGTGTTGCCAGATAACATCGCAGTATAGAGAGATTTATTGCCACAAAACAAAGTCAGCACCATTATAAACGTATTACAATAACGAAAATATTTCAGCAATAATGACAGTGATTAATTATTGCGTTGTGCGGGTCGATGGTCAAGACCGATTAAAGTCATCTAGGCTCCCGAACCTTGTGTATATGCTGTATATAAGCTCATCATAGCATAAAATAGTACAATAGTCCTGCGTAGCGAAAGCGCCGTGGGCGAACTATATTCAGTTAACCATGGTACCGTACCGTAATTTTCGGATGACATAGCATGTGGGGTAAAAGACAGCGCTTGGACATTCAGTTTGAATTAGAAATGCGAAATTAGAAATTAAAATTAGTACTTGCGGTACACAATATATCTTTGTTTATATTTAGGTTATTTATTATTTACATATTGAATAATCCACATTGTGGATCCATTTAAAAAAAAAATAAATTAGAAATTGAATGCGAAAATAATGTTATAAGTATAAGTTTATTTCGACTCCATAATCAGCAATAGACGATAAAAAAATAGATAAAAACAAAAGTAAAAGTAACTGATTATAGAATCGGGAAAGCGAACAAAACCTAGAGTAAGGTTTGAAACGTACAGATTTTAGATGGAAAGGTATTGATAAAAGAAGTAGTACGTGTTCGCTCACCCAAAAGTAGAAAAAAACTAATTAAGGCACACACAATCATCGAGACATGATACAGTCGGAAGCGAAAAAAGCGAGACTTAAAAGTAAAAAGGAAGGAAAATATACAAACAAATAAAAAAAAATGAATAAATTCTTTTGACACACCAAATTAATAATTTTATGAGGATTGCCAAATTGGATACCGAATTAGTCGATGTTACGAATAGAAAAGTATTCCTCAAAAGATATCGTCAAGCTCATTATTGTTGGAGTCACGTAATGCCAAATTGCCCAATCAGAATTGCCAAGTTGGATGTATGAAGAGGTGGGCTAGACCTGCTTCACTCATCAAATAGAAGCCACAACAAGCCAAATAGCGTCCAAATTATTTTAAATACTATTAATCAATAACAGTACCGGTAATCAAAATTAATTAGGGCGGTATGATACAGAGGTAGGAATATTGGTTAAGGGAATATATACAGTACAGCACACTATCCAAATTCCAAGAATTTCCCTCCATTTGGTTCAATAAAATGAACACTCTACGTGTCTCACAAACGAGGGGCGTCTGGACCACGTCAGATGCTTCATATCGCGCCATGCTTGTTTCAATAATAATCTTAATTAATCGCGGCCGTCACATGACCAAAATTGCCGTTTTTTGCTAAAAACTCTCGAATGCAACGATAAAAAAATTTTTCCTTTGGTAAATCTGTTGATTTTTTCCCAAGAAATTCAATGATGACGATATTGGATTGCGCTTTTTTGTAGTATTTTGCGCAACTTCATTTTACTGTATTATTACCGATATTGAGGGACAACAATGTCCAGACGTCTCCCGAAGGAGGGGTGTCTGATCATCTGTAAAATTGGTTTCTCTGAAATGGGACAATGTCACCCGATTTGTATAGTGTGCCGTACTGATATATGGTGTTTAAGGTTCAAGTAAGGTTTCTAGGGTCATGGATTATAGGCAAGTAACTTTAATTGAGGTTGTTGATCACTGCGGTCAGTTCAAATTCATCACGGATGATTCATCAGTCTGCAAGTTTTGTTGATGTATACACCTTTCATGTTGACATAGATAATTAGTCGATTAGTCGATATCGAGTCTAAAAATTCTGACACCGCTCATCTCTGGTGGGGGTTAGGAATGACACGTGAAATTTTTTTCATTCTACGCCCACTAGAAGTAGATAGACTACGTTAGGTACGAACCTACATGAGAGATGAGACCCAGTCATGGAACGTCCCAAAAATGATCGTAGGCGTGAGCCACACTGCACCACTGACAACAGAAGTTGAATAACACGTACTAGCCGCTGTGAGTCGTCGCGTACTGTAGATATTTGCACTATGCAAAAATATGCATTGTTTCACGTCGATTTGCGAGATGTCCGTCGGTCACACTTAATATACCGGATAGTAGAATATTCCGTTTCAATGATTTTACACTTATTTATTCAAGTTTTTTCTGTCGCACGCTAAGAATCTAGATTTTCATGTGGTCAGTTCGGTTCTCGCGCAGGCTCGGATGTCAAGAAGATTTTTCCATTGTTACCCGCGAATCTGACGTCTTGATATCACCACCATTAAAAAGCGCTCTCAAAGTATGTGTACTAATAGAACTAAAATAAGGAAAATCGGAATACCCGAACTCGTAGTGAAACGAAAATCGGAATAAAATTATGGCCTCACCCTATCCTGGTACACATACTACGGCAGTACCAATCAAAGTCTTGAGGAAGCTCTCCATTAAGTGAAATTTTTATTTATTGAACCATTTCTTTGTTTCTAACTTCTATCACTGTACTTTTTTCTAGCATTTGTGTGGATACTATAATTCTGTCTGGCTTTCAGGAACTGCAATGGAAAGTTTCACAAAAGATGTGGATGATGCAGAAAAACAATGTTTTATAGTTTGCCACAATGGAAACTGCTCTGTAAATATGCGTAGTAAAATGAGTCAAAATTATAACAAACACAGACATTGTCTATTATGTCATAAAACATTTCCTACACCGGCAAAATGTCGTCGCCATTTCCAAGATGTTCATAAGAAGAAGTCTGTCGTCATCGGTGAAGTTACATATTTGCAGTGCAGATGCACTGAACAGTCCAGGCGCTGGAGAAAAGGACATTATCACTGCTCCATTTGTCCTTACAAAACTCGCTGTACTGGAAATATTGAGAAACATCTGGTAAAGCATACATCTCCCGGAGACATGATGCCCGCGCATTTATTAAAGAAAGAGATTGTGAAGACAGTAGAAGGAAAGCCTCAATCGGAAGATAGCAATTATGATATTACAAGCACGAACTTTTTGAACCAGGTCGGCAGTTTTCGCAGTGTTATAATTCCCCATCATGTCTAAAACTATCGCTTCGACGATGGTGATAACTGTCTGTAAATTTTGTTTATCCGAAATAAAAAACTTTAGTTGTTTCAATGTACCTGTGAACATGACTAGTGAGACTACCATTTTGTATATGTGATTTCGATTTCAATAACTTATAGTCTTTGTAGAAGTTTTGACTTTACTCTGTGATTACTCCACTGAACATGTTACTGAATATGATAAGAGACTGTTGAAATATGCAATGACCTTGCAAAAGTATATTTTGAGCAATCAATTGATTTATTATAAATTGTTATTACAGATTATCCAGTTCTCTAACGATGCCGGTCAAGCATTCAACAGACCGCAGTTTCATGCTCCATATGAAGCCATCCCTGGGTAAAGCAATTCTTACGTCATTTTCTTTTGACATCTGGATGAGTTGAGACAAAAACCCAAGACAAAAACTAGTATTTATTCATCTATTTATTTCAATTTTCACAGTTCAACATTAGAAGAAGAAGAAGTTGAAATGTTACAGCACGTCGTACAACAATTTGGAAAAGATCTTGATAAACTTAACTCTGTTATTAAAAAGAGAAGAATGTAAGATATATTAAATCTCTTGTCAATTACTTGGTTTAGTTTTTATATGATAAATGGATATTTTACGTTTCATATATTTTGTCATTTTATTAGGTTGAATAAAACAAAAAACTATACTATATGATCCAATGAGCTATTTATTATCAAAACACTATGTACACTAGATATAATACCCACATTTCATCTAGACGTTATAATGCAAACAATTTTAAACTTCGACCCCTCTCTGCTAACATATGTTTATAAGTTCTTGGATCCAAAACCAAGTTTTTGGTTACAAATGTAATAATATAATGTATTATGATTCATATTACAGAAGTCAAATCAAACATGCTATGAAACAAGAAGTATATGATGAAGCAGAAATGCCAATTTCTTCAAAGCAACAGTACAAGGATTCACAAACTACTCTTACCAATACTCCAATATCTGGCATTATACCAATCAAAAAACAAAAGCTCTCTCCGCCTCAAGACACCCATGATGATAGTCTTTCGTACCCTCCTTTAAAATACCTAAAAGCTATAATTACTGTAGAAGTTGTAACAGACTCAAAGTTTGAAGGTGATGTGGAAAATTTGCATGAGTCTCCATTACCACAGGAACAACAAGACCAATTTATCAGTTCAAGGATAGTGGATGATAAGCCCAAGTCATCTCTCATCAACCCCCCACATTTATTGCCATTGGATATTGTAGAACAGACATGAGTTAGTGGTGGTATCAAAGGTATAATCAATACTTCTGATTAAAGTATCATTCCCCAGCATAGTATCCTGTTTAGTCTCTGTATTCAGGATAAAACGGCTATGTCAATCTTATAGTGTAAAAATAGTATATGCTGATTTAATATTTGTTCTGTATTTGCTTTTGTGATTTTAAATTGTGTGGAAATTAGAATATTAAAACTTGTGATATTTAACTGTGGACCTGTGGTGGCTGTTGGGATAATGTGAGATTCAGATTTCAGGGTGATATTCGTATGATCTCTTTGTGAGTCTGTTTCACACAAAACATTTAATTAATGAGAATGAATTAAGATAATTTATTTTAAAATTGCATGAAAGTACCTCATGGGCAATATCATCTGGCTGTGTCATACAAAGAGAGTTCAAGACTTCCTCACCAGTGGTGTGTACATTGATGAACTAAACTTTGAGAGAACAGTTAAATATTTATATCTGCATATCCGAAGAATTATTGGGATGAAAATGCATAACAGCAACGTTTGGTATAACATATAATTTATGTGTCCATAGAGTTCTATATATATTCTCGACATTTTTTCAACTTTTCCTGGTATATATTGATTGACAGGTAGCTGAAGCACTAACTAAGCAATATGTACTTTATGTTCAATTCACACTTCCAAAAAAGTTAATTTGCTCGATTAAGCTTCAATAATTGGTTATTACTGGTATTTAGTCAGGTAAAAACACTGATAAACTTTAGAATTCTTCAGACAATCAAACGATTATCACAACGTAGCAAATAAATCACTATCCATTTTCAAGCTGATTGTTTTGAAAAATGTTGATTCACAAAGATAAACCGAACCAAACACTGGTCTGTAAAATAGGATCGCTGTTTGATTTAAAAGGCGAGCTTGTTCTGTCCTTACTGCGCTGACCAATGAATAGTGACAAGATGTGAAATATCTCTCCGCTTTGTCGTTATTCATAATCGCCCCGCAAATTAGACATACGTAAGGTAGTAAAGAGAAATCCATTCCCCACTCATCGTGAAAATGGTAGGTTTTCTTTCGTTTTTCTGTCATTTTTCTTTGAAATCAATAACTGTATTATTGCTGCTCCACAAATCAACGGACAACAAAAAACGCAGGTTCGTTGGAGGTGATATCTGTGTGATGTCATAATTGGGAGAGTATTGAATGACCCGTCACATTACTGAGGTCTAATCCAGTGATTCCCAAAGTGGGCGATATCGCCCCCCGGTGGGCGAAAACGATACAGAGGGGGGCGAAAAAGTTGGAAGGGGGCGATAGGGGGCGATTTCGCGAAACCTGTTTTTAGTCGGCGCATCGTGCACTTGATTACTGTACTCTGCGTGCTTTCGTAGGTTTGAATCACGTGAGCGAATATCAGACGCGAAAGGATTGCTGGAATCGTCTTCGCAGTAAGGTACGGTAGTTTGCGTATCCTAGTGGTCGGGAAATCTGTGGTAATCTGGCCCGGGACGCTTCACTGAATGGATCTTTTCCCGACCTTTGACCCCGAAAATTTTTCCCATAATTTATCATTCTAAAATTTTCGGTGTTTCTTTATGGTTTCGCGAGTTGTTGCCCATAAAATGAAGTATTTGTTTCAAATTATCATTCTAGTTCATACCATTCAACAATCTGTTTTTAAAAAGTACCGGTAAAGAATTTTAGCCCAGTCTTTCACAGCTATTTCTACACTAATTTTTGATTACTGTAATTAAACTGAAACTCCTAGGAGGACAAAGTGTTCATTGACTCATTTTATTTAAATTTCCGGAAAACAACTAAAAACTGACGAATATAATTCAAAATCGCAAAAATGAGGTAATGTTCACGACCACGCCTGAAAGTCTGTTTGAGCTGAGTGAGGAATGTATCTGAGCGGATGCGAAAGGGAGAGAGAGAGAGAGGAGAGAGAGATTTATTGTTTTGTCAACCGTAAACGAACAATAGTATACAAAATATTATATACAATATACACAAAGTTAATTCGGTATAGACTGGGGGGAGCGATACGACCATAAGGTCATCGGAGTCAGCTCCCCCAAGTTCACTATTAGGATTCACAGTTAAATGTATATAAATAAGAAATAAAATAAAAAAGATACTCATTGGAGAGTTGACCAGAACTCTTACAGAATATTTTTGAGATTAGGCTATAAGATGGTTGAAGCAATGGCATTTTCAGCTTTTAGGTCTGGGGTTTGACTCCTAGTAGGTCCATTTCATAACATTTTTTTGTTTTGCATGCAATGTAGGGGCATTGTTACATTTATTTTTGCATCTTGCTGATTGGCCAAGTGGTTTGAACATTTGACTGATTTATCTTGGTACTACTTACTTTTGGTGTGTTTACGTATGGTTCACTGTATCGCGATTATTGGCTGATTACTTGATTACTTCTTGTTATGGTTAACTGTCCAGAGCTTTAGTCGGACTTTAGATCTGTTCTCATAAGCTTGTTAATGGTGCTATAGTCATTGGGTATGAATAATCTATTTCTTAAGTTTCTTACATTGGGATAATCTGTTCTGACAAAGCCTCATATAAATTCAAGTGAATTGGTATATTCTTGCTTTGTATTGTGCCTGGTTGCCTGTACTCATTTTAATATTCATCTTTATTGTTTGTCAGGTCACTTTGTCTTACTGATATCTGGATTAAATCACTTTGGAGAAAAACCATTCGTTTCATTTCGGGATATTAGTTAAAGAGACATAGTAGGCAAGGGTGATTTGTCAATGGGCAGAAATCCAAACTAGTGACATTTAATGATACTGCACCTACACCTACAAACTGGAGTCTGAATCAAGCAGTTCTTCTTCAACCTTTCGAGGATTCAGCAATACATCAAAGCAAGAATGCCAACTAACGATGGCAGAATATTTTCAAGGTCAGAATTTCAAACAACTCAAGAGTAAGTTTCCGGTACTCAAAGTAAATTTGGAAAGAATTTTAACACGATTTGAGCACTCTCTGGAAAGAAGAGATTTTGAAAAGGTCAAAATACTGTTTCATGATGCTAACGATAAAATAGCATTTTTGGTCTGTCTAATTGATACTATGGAATTGGCTCTAATTGAAGAAAACAACAGTACTACACAAAGCGAGGAAAAACCCGTTATATCCAAATTTAGTGAAGAAATTTTACGTGTGGAAAACAAGATTGCAATCGATTTTGAGAAATATGAAGACAAACTAGATATAAAGCCGGTGATATCATCTCTTGTAACCACTCAAAACAATTATAATAATGATCCTCCTATGATTAAGTTATGTGGTACCGATCCGCCATGCTGGAACGGACAAAAAGTAGAATTTTATACCTGGAAAGAACGTTTTACACATATAATGCACCATGCTAGAATTACGGATGATTTAGTGCAAATTTCATGGCTTTTACGCAATGGTGCAATGCCAAACAATTATCAAACAATGATATGTGACTGTAAATCAATTTCAAGTGTATGGGAACGCCTGGAAGAGCGTATTCCTAAATCAGTAGTTCAACATGAAGTAATCAAGCAATACGAGCAAATAAAACCTTTATATAAGACCTCTCGTAATCCAGCGAACCTTAGGCGACTAGCTCACGAAATTTCTCTCTTCTGCCGACGTATGGAAGATCTTGGGTTAAAACAGGATGCAAACTCGGTTATTTCTGTCAATAGAGCATTAGAGTGTCTAGATGCAGACACTGCACTGCGATATAATAGTTCCAGCAAAGGTAATCATAACTTGGAATCTATAACGAATTTTCTGAGATCTGAAGCTACAGCGTTGGAAATATCTGGTAACTTTATCAGTCAAACCGAGAATATGAGGTTTCGACCGAGACAAAACCAGTCGCCAAGATCTAATTTCAATACGGTTAATCATGCTACAGACGAGAATGATAACATGGGTTCAGTTCAGCCACGTCAAAGGACAGTCACTTCTATTTTTGGATGTGGAATTCAAATTCAGCACCGCCTTATAGACTGCAACAAATATCAAAACCTATCAATTCCTGAAAGAAAAAACTCTATAGCAGATGGTCGAAGATGTTTTATATGTCTAGGAACTCACTTTGCAAGAAATTGTGCAAGAACAACAGCCGATAGCTGTGTAAATTGTAACCAAAGACAGCATCATTGGTCATTATGTCCCGGAAAAGTACAGGGAAATTACAATACAATGAGAAATTCTGGTATGAACGACTCGACTTTGGAAAGTCAACATATTCACTCTAATGCAGCAGTATTCAACCAATCTCAGATGCATTCAAGACAATTGAGCGCTTTTAATTTGGATTATTCTCCATTACTTGTTGCAGAAGTGCAGGCGAGTGACAAAACATGGATCAAGGCAAATTTCTTTCTTGATGGTGGCAGTAACCATTTTTTGGTAAGACATAATTTTGTAAAATCATTGAAACAAAAGGCAATAGGTCATGGAACAATTCGGTTTGGTGTCGCAGGAGGAGCCATTCATGAAGAACCTTCTGAAGATTATAATTTAAAAATTAGACCTTTTTCACGAGACCAGATATTTGATATCAGAGTTACGGCTGTGAGAAAACCTTGTCACGATGTTACACCAATTCCGCCATCTATTTTTAAACAGTTTGAATATCTAAGAAGAATTCAGGATAAAATACCAGTTGGGCAAAAAACAGTCGATGTTCTTGTTGGTAGAGATTATGCACCTTTAATTCAAACAATGCATTCGTTACGTTCACCAATTGATCCCGATAATCATCCTTCAGCAGCTTTCACATCTCTTGGATGCTATCTATATGGAGGCATTATTCAAGCACCGCAACGATCTTTCAATCATGTAGCAAATATTAATAGTTTTTCATCATTAGAAAATGAAGAGTTGCGCAAGTTTTTCCATGGTGAAGTTCTTGGAGTGCAACCCACAACTTTGTGTGTTTGTTCAAACTCAGAAATTGCAGAATCAGCATTTATCAAACATGTAAAAGCGACAACCAATATTAGTGCTGATGGCCGAGTTTGTGTCAAAATGCCATGGAAACCTGGTTTCCCAGAAAAATTGCACAACAATTTTGCGGAAGGCGTATGAACAAATGAAAAAACGGGAACAAGAATTGTGCAGAAAAGGAAAAACGGAAGAGTATAATATGGAGATTAAAAATCTGCTTCAGCGAGGCTTAGTACGACGACTAACACCGGTTGAAACGAAAACGGCTAAAGTTGAAAATGCATGGTACCTCAATCATCGTATCGTAGAACGTCCGGATAAAATCTCAACAAAATTAAGAATAGTATTTGATTCTGCGTGTCCTTTGTCCTTTTAAGGGCACATGTCTCAATGATGGTTTAGAGAAAGGCCCCAGCTTTGCGAATTCGCAGCTTTGCAGATGGATTTAGCTGGGACCAAACTTTGCCAGATGATGTGGTCAAATGCTGGTATAACAATGTTCAAGAAATGTCCAAGTTAGCTCAAGTTTCAACTCCAAGATGTCTGAAACCTGAAAACACAACTGGACCTCCTCAACTGCACGCATTTTCAGACGGTGGAGATTTAGCCTATGGCACTTGTGTGTTCTTACGGTGGCCTACAACAGGTGGAGTTAAGCTAACATTCGTTGCAGCAAAGGGATTTGTGGCGCCACTCAAACACAAAAGTACTCCAAGAAAGGAGCTAATGGGAGCAATAGGCATGAGCAGATTGGTGAATGAAATAAGTAGAGCACTACCGTACAATATTGCATTCAAATATTTCTGGATGGACAGCAAAGTTGTCATTTATTGGTTGAACTCTTAATCTGGAAAATTCAAACCATTCGTTGCTTCAAGAGTACAAGAATTTCAAGATACACATAAGAATCTAACAAAAGAAGTCAAATTCATTCCAAGTCTTCTTAATGCTGCAGATTGTTTAACAAAATCTATTTCCTGCGAGAAGCTTACAATTTGGCATGAAGGACCTGAATTTCTAAGGCAACCAATGGAATATTGGCCGAATGATGATGACTTAAAATTAGATGAATTACGTCAAGAAATATTAGAAGAAAAACCACCAACTAAGTCAAAAGCATATCGCGGAAAAAGACAATTCAACGTCGTTAAAGCAGATTTGCCTTATCAAAATGATAATGATTTAGCGGATAATTTTTCTTCATGGCAAGACTTGCTAAGAGCGACAGCTTGGATGAAGGGTGCATTTCAGCAAAAATCATTTGTCAATTTGGAATTTAAACCTGTCGATGTCGTACAATACATGGAGAAAGCAAAATTGTGTATATTCAGAATTTGTCAAAAATCTATGATTGATGAATTTGGGAAGGCTGTCAAAACTCTATGGAAATTAGACTTGTTATTCGATTCTCACGGAATTCTTCGTATTGGTGGAAGACTTGAATAGAACTGATTTATATATGGAAATGAAGCATCCAGTCGTACTTCCGGGCAAACATTCCCTCGTTCGTCTTCTTGGAGTGTTCTATCATAAAAAGTTCTTACATCAAGGGTATCGAGTTATATTGGCAAATATGAAGAATGACGGTATTGTTCTTATTGGTGGAAGAATACTCTTAAAATCAATAGCATCAATGTGTATATTTTGCAGAATTCGTCGTAGAAAGTTGCTACAGCAACGCATGGGAGAACTTCCTTCATTTCGAATGCAACCACAGATGGCACCATTCAATTCTGTAGCAATGGATTTTTTCGAATACTTGAAAGTAAAGCAATCTCGAAATGTAGTTATCAACGCGACATGTGCAACCACTCGTTGTATTCATCTGGAACTGTCTCTGACTCTGGATACTAATTCGTTCCTTTGGGCATGGAGACGATTTGTATCTATAAGGGGAATTCATCCTGCATTTGTATTTTCCGACGGAGGTACTACATTTCAAGCTAGTCAGTTGATTCAACATGAGATGGCAGAGAATCAAACGAAATTTGATTGGAAATATAATGTGCCTTACGCGTCACATATGAATGGAGTAGTAGAATCGCTTATCAACTCGGTTCGCAAAGCACTCGATGCATCAGTGGTGAATTACAGCAGGGCTCTTATGACCTACGAAGAATGGACAACTGTTCTCAACGAAATTACTTAATCATCAATATTCAACCACTTTTCCCAGATGGAAACCCTTTGGAATGTAATTGTATTACTGGCAATACTCTTTTACATCCATATGCAAAGCAGGTAGTCCCTCAAACTACACAAGAAAAGAGATTCAATCCACGAGACATGCTAAAAGTGGCGGAAAACAGAGTTGAGGTGTTCTGGAAAACATGGATGAAACACATACCGCCTCAGCTATTACTTGCTAACAAATGGTTTCGAACAAGACGCAATCTTCAAGTTGGAGATTACGTATTAATTCTTCAACCTGGATTTAAAGGCGGAAGTGCACTCAGAGGTTTATGTAAAAAAGCACTGGTTCACAACATTATGCCCAGTTCAGATGGCTTAGTGAGAAGTGTTACAATCAAAGACAGCGATGGGAATTTATACAATCGACCAATACATAAACTTTGTCTAATTGCGACCAAAGAAGAGCTACAGTGTGGGTTGAAAGACATCTAATCTCATATCAGTTACTCCGAATTAACAATGTTCAATATTATCGTCTTTTTCATTGCATTCATAGACTGGGAGGGAGTGGTTTGAACATTTGACTGATTTATCTTGGTACTTTTGGTGTGTTTACGTATGGTTCACTGCATCGCGATTATTGGCTGATTACTTGATTACTTCTTGTTATGGTTAACTGTCTAGAGCTTTAGTCGGTCTTTAGATCTGTTCTCATAAGCTTGTTAATGGTGCTATAGTCATTGGGTATGAATAATCTATTTCTTAAGTTTCTTACATTGGGATAATCTGTTCTGACAAAGCCTCATTTAAATGTAAGTGAATTGGTATATTCTTGCTTTGTATTGTGCCTGGTTGCCTGTACTCATTTTAATATTCATCTTTATTGTTTGTCAGGTCACTTTGTCTTACTGATATCTGGATTAAATCACTTTGGAGAAAAACCATTCGTTTCATTTCGGGATGCTAGTTAAAGAGACGTAGTAGGCAAGAGTGATTTGTCAATGGGCAGAAATCCAAACTACCAAGTAAAGAAGGAAGTTATTGCCAGGGGAAACATCCGAACAGAGGTTTTAACGATAAATTAATTTTATTTATTATCTACGCTCGAGGAGTAAATTACATTTCTTTTTACGTAACAGAATTTATCGTGAGACACGTTTAGACTGAATTTTATTATATTCTAAAAATTATATTGAACAGCTACTCGTTTAACGTTCAATATAATTATAAATATACTCGTTTAATTATAATTAGACAAATGAAAACACGCAGAAAAGTTGATGGTGAGTGCAGGGGTTCGCAGTAAATATTCGGATATATTGCAATATAATAAGTAAATCAAATTCATATTATATTCGAGAGATTAATCACTGCTTAATTTTCGTAAGAATGTATCTTCTTAAAGAAAATCTTTATCAAAATTTCACAAACCATGCAAAAATATTCACTTCGATGTTTGAAAGTAGGCTACATATTTGCGCGAACAATTATTTTTGAAAATGAACATTACAAAGAACTAGCAAAGAACTAGGATTAGTGATGCCCATTTAGAAAATCTTCCAATCTTGGCGTCGTAAAGCTATCAAGCGTGATGCAGCAACAAGACAGTGTCACATTAAATGTCATTGTAATATTTTTTAATAAGACGACTGAGTTGAGTTCACGAATTGTCGGAGTTTTTGCACGATGTTCCGTTTTTAACTTTCAAAAAATATATGCGATCCGCAAAAGAATAGCAATCATAATTTTGTCCCGCGAGCGACGTAAAATTTGCCGACCCCTGAGCCATCCGAGTCCACGAATCCAAAACAAATGGCTGATTAATGCTATGGACTCTGGTGATCGGACTGGAGGACGTGGTAGGATGAGTCGTGGGGGATGAATTTTACCGAAGACCTGTATATATCATTGTTTTGGTGAAGGTCGTCAGGCCGTACGGATGAATGACATGTACCTAAATCATTATTATAAGTTTTGAAAAGTTAATTTTGTTTTCATTATTTTAATGTGAAACGGGGTGGATTTAGGGAGTTAAATGCTATAAGGCAAGAGTACACGGCGGTTTTTCAGGAGGTAGAACCCTGGATTCTTCCATATCCGACTTCTGATATGATGAAAAGGGGGTTTTCAGTCGTGAAACTATTGCTATCAAAACAACTAAATTGCCTTTCCATCAGTAAACGGGGTAATTTTAGATGTAATAAAAAACTCGCCGAAGAACACCAAGCTCATCCATCTCATTAAAAAACACTATAAACTATGATTTGTCTTCTTGTTTGGTTTGTAATATATTCGTTTCAGATTTTCAATTTTTTTTGCAGTGCCCGGGGGGCGATGAAGTTGTTTAAACTAGTGTAGGGGGGCGATGGTACAAAACTTTGGGAACCACTGGTCTAATCCTAATCAGAATGATCGTTACAATAATAATTAACATAGTGTCATTTCCCACATATAGGCATAAGTGCGATTTATACAAGAATAGTATGACAAAACTTAATTGATGTAGCTTACTTCAGCGTCATCATCATGTTTATTTTGTAACAGACATGAGGGCGACTTATGTGGTCTTCACGGGCGACTTGGTGCCCGCGGGCAACGGGTTGGTGATCCCTGCTTTATGAGGTCACTATTCGGTATGGTTGTAGTTGGAGGAGACGATTGAAGAAATTACAAGGTCAATTACAAAGATAGATTTGGAAAATTGATCACAATTAGGGTGACCATATTTCCAAATCCTAAAAGGAGGACACATCGTTTGGTAGAACCATCGATATCTTAACATTAGTAGAACCTTATTTCACCTGTGCCTGATATTATACATTTACTAAATTCTCTAGGACTAAATATAGAGGTGACGAAAATGAAATAATGCATTTTTGCCTTTATTGAGAAAACATCTACAGAAGAATCAATTTATTTGTCCTTAGATCATGAGTATTTGGCTTTTCCTTTAATCTTTGTCAACATTGCCGCGTAATTTTTTGCAATATCGTAAAAATGGCTTGAAGTCTACGCAATTCAGATTTGGGATTGTATGACTATTTGTTTCTTTCTTCAATCGTAAATTTAACAGCATTAAGACAAGCTTTGATTTTAATAATGAAAGCCCCTGAATGATCACTATCCCTTATTTGTTCATTAAACACAGCAAGAAACGAATGCAAATAATCAACGTGCAACTGTAAGCTGAGCTTGTCTTCATTCGCCAGTAGCAAGTACCGTAGCGTAGCCGCAAGTAATGCACTCCATTTCGCTATCAGTTCGACCTTTTCTAAATCATGGATACTCTTACTTTGGTTCCTGGGTAAAAAAAGGCTTTTCTGTTTTGCAAAATTTACTGAAGTTACTGACGTAATTTATTGCCGAAATCGAAATTTTACCATTGCAAAATATAAGGTGAAATGACGTAAAACATAATTGCAGAACAATCCACGTTTTACATCATAAACGAGTATGTATAACAATTAGCGTATGCATTTAATCTAGACTCCTAGTAGAGTAAGCCGAGCCGAAAAAAGTTGAAGGACTGCACGTGCAAGCATACTAACCTAACCCTAGGTAAGGCATGTTAGAGCGAAAGACAGTAAACTCGAATGAGCCAAGAAAGAGCGGCGTGCGGTGCGGGGCGGGTCGGAGCGCACACTTCTCTCGGTGGCTGGCGGGCGAGAGAGTGCTGCGTCGCCGGCATCGGCGTCGAAAGAAGCCGAGCCGAAAAAAGTTGAAGACTGCAACGTGCAAGCATACTAACCTAACCCTAGGGTAAGGCATGTTAGAGCGAAAGACAGTAAACTCGAATGAGCCAAGAAAGAGCGGCGCGGTGCGGGGCGGGTCGGAGCGCACACTTCTCTCGGTGGCTGGCGGGCGAGAGAGTGCTGCGTCGCCGGCATCGGCGTCGAAAGAAGCCGAGCCGAAAAAAGTTGAAGGACTGCACGTGCAAGCATACTAACCTAACCCTAGGTAAGGCATGTTAGAGCGAAAGACAGTAAACTCGAATGAGCCAAGAAAGAGCGGCGTGCGGTGCGGGGCGGGTCGGAGCGCACACTTCTCTCGGTGGCTGGCGGGCGAGAGAGTGCTGCGTCGCCGGCATCGGCGTCGAAAGAAGCCGAGCCGAAAAAAGTTGAAGGACTGCACGTGCAAGCATACTAACCTAACCCTAGGTAAGGCGTGTTAGAGCGAAAGACAGTAAACTCGAATGAGCCAAGAAAGAGCGGCGTGCGGTGCGGGGCGGGTCGGAGCGCACACTTCTCTCGGTGGATGGCGGGCGAGAGAGTGCTGCGTCGCCGGCATCGGCGTCGAAAGAAGCCGAGCCGAAAAAAGTTGAAGGACTGCACGTGCAAGCATACTAACCTAACCCTAGGTAAGGCATGTTAGAGCGAAAGACAGTAAACTCGAATGAGCCAAGAAAGAGCGGTGCGGGGCCGGTCGGAGCGCACCCTTTTCTCGGTGGCTGGCGGGCGAGAGAGTGCTGCGTCGCCGGCATCGGCGTCGAAAGAAGCCGAGCCGAAAAAAGTTAAAGTACAAACGTGCAAGCATACTAACCTAACCCTAGGTAAGGCATGTCAGAGCGAAAGACAGTAAACTCGAATGAGCCAAGAAAGAGCGGCGTACGGTGCGGGGCCGGTCGGAGCGCACCCTTTTCTCGGTGGCTGGCGGGCGAGAGAGTGCTGCGTCGCCGGCATCGGCGTCGAAAGAAGCCGAGCCGAAAAAAGTTAAAGTACAAACGTGCAAGCATACTAACCTAACCCTAGGTAAGGCATGTCAGAGCGAAAGACAGTAACTCGAATGAGCCAAGAAAGAGCGGTGCGGGGCCGGTCGGAGCGCACCCTTTTCTCGGTGGCTGGCGGGCGAGAGAGTGCTGCGTCGCCGGCATCGGCGTCGAAAGAAGCCGAGCCGAAAAAAGTTAAAGTACAAACGTGCAAGCATACTAACCTAACCCTAGGTAAGGCATGTCAGAGCGAAAGACAGTAAACTCGAATGAGCCAAGAAAGAGCGGGTGCGGGGCCGGTCGGAGCGCAC